ACCATTTATTTACTTAACAAGTGCATTCCGATATGTGCATTCAATGAAGTCTTTGAATTGAAATTATGCGATGATATGATGACGACGATGATGATCAAGATGATGATGACGACGACGATGATGATGATGAGGATGATGATGATGAGAAGGATGACAAAGTTGGAAAGTTGTGCTACTCATTTATACATAAAAGTGTCGAAGCAACTTTTTCAAGTCCTCGTATCGTCGTCATTCTTCTTGTTAATCTCATCATCATCTTCTTCTTCATTACCCTCATCATCACCATCGCCATCATCATCTTCATCGCCATCGTCATCATCATCGACCATAGATAGATAGATATTGTTGAGATACATTGAAGATACTGCTATCTTCATTATGGTATGCAACGTGGGAACATCAGCTTCGCCTGTTAACTGCACCCATTCTACCAATTGACCTAATGAGCCAGCCTTAGCCAACGTAGCAATGAAAGGATGTATAACAAATTTCTCAAAACAAGTGCAAATAAACGCACAATATCTGTCTCTCATCATCAAACCAATCAGCAACAACACATTTTTCACTATTGAAAAAAAGAACTTGATGAATGAATGAATTAATAAATGAATGAATAAACGAATAAAAGAATGAATAAACTTAAGATGAAGATGAATGAAGTGAGAAGTCGTGATGAAATGAATGGTGGTGTTGAGTGCAAATGTGCATGTTCTTGTCAGTTACAATTAGATCAAGTTTTCCTGATTTCCGTGTTAGATTGCATTGATGTTTGTTGCCCACACATGCCTACATACCTTTTCACATACATACATACAAACATACATACATCCATACAAACATACATACATCTATACAAACATACATATATCCCTACAAACAAACAAACTTACATACAAACATACATACATCCATACAAACATACATACATTCATACATACATACATACTTGTATGCATCCATACAAACATACATACGTGTATTTGTATACAAATACATACATAAACACATCCATACATACATACATACATACTTGCATGCATCTATGCAAACATACATACGTACATACACAAATACATACATAAACATACACATACTCACACATGCGCAGTTGATTAGCGTGATGGCGCAGGGTTAGTTGCTGAAGAACATGTAGCGTTGATGTAATGTTGTATTTCTCCACATATCCGTACTGAGATGCAGAGGCGGATCTAAACGGGGGAGGGGGGAGCGAAGTTTGATGGAGGGGGCCAGCCAAAAACTGGAAATACACTGCAACCTTTTTTTCATCACCAAATTTCGTGCCAATTTATTTTCCTATATATCTAAAACTATATTTTCATGTATAAAGGTTGTGTTTCATTGTATAAAAGTAATTAAATTTAAAAAGAAGACAGCAGAATGGTTGTTGAGTGTTGATATGCTGGCTCTCTGCGACGTCGGGAACTGTTGAGTCGGGAAGATAAGATGAAGGATGTATGTAATTATCACCGGAGTTCAGTCTAACAACTTCATTCAGTTGCAAGGATAACTATTTTGATATAATCGAGCAAGCGTCCATTTGAGAACTATCTCACATAAGAGAGATAAATTAGTAATAAATTAATTTGTGCATTTGTATGTAACTGATAATTATCTATTTACATTTTTCTCAAAGACGATATTAATCACTGCAAGTTACAGATTGGATTAGATATTTTCGTAGAAATCTTCAATGTACTCATTTCGACGGTGCTTGATTGGTGCAAACAGCACACACACACACAAACACACACACACACACACAAACATACAGACACATACACACATAACGATGTACATACATGCACTTGAATGTTTGGTGCTCACGTTGTTATTATTTGTTTCTTGTTACATTTGTCATGTTGTCTGCGTTTTTTTGTTAATATTGTTATAATCTAATTTTGTTGTTATTATTATTTGTTGTTGTTGTTGTTTGTTGTTATTATTATCATAGGCGTTGCTGTTATCATAGTAGTTGTTGTTATTATCATAGATGTTGTTGTTGTTATCATAGTTGTTGTTGTTATTATTATAGTTGTTGTTGTTGTTATTATTATAGTTGTTGTTGTCATAGTTGTTGTTGTTGTTGCTGTTGTTGTTGTTGTTACAACAGCGTTCGTCTTATCGGATGTTGCGTCGTTGAAGATTTGTGTCGTCTGCTCGAGTGCATGATCGCCTTCGTTCCTAAGTTCCTAACAATAGATTCTAAACAAACAAACAAATGAAAAATTCATAAACAGGCAAACAAACATACAAACAAACAAATTAATAAATAAATTAATAAAACAAATAATAAGACGAACACGAGTGCATTCTATACGTAAGCAATAAGAATGATGATAATGTTTCGCAGATTAAAACAAACACAACAAGAAAGTATTTTGTGGGAGTGAATGAATGAATGAACGAATGAATGAGTGAGTGAGTGAATGAGCGAGTGAGTGAGTGAATGAATGAATGAATGAATGAATGAACGAATGAATGAAGGAACGAATGAACGAATGAGTGAGTGAGTGAGTGAATGAGTGAGTGAGTGAGTGAGTGAGTGAGTGAGTGAGTGAGTGAGTGAGTGAGTGAGTGAGTGAGTGAGTGAGTGAGTGAGTGAATGAATGAACGAATGAACGAACGAAAGAACGAATGAACGAATCGATGAATCAATGAACCAATGAATGTGTGCAAGTTGGTGATGAGCCAGAGCCATCATGTTAAGTGCAATGCGCAATGGAATAACATTCGACTCATCGATTTTTAACGCTCCTCATCACACCTCATACTTTTTAGAATTTGTTGAATGTTCGGGTGCAAATCAAAATTTGAAACTTGAACGTTAATTTGACAGCAATTAATTACGTTAATTAAAACATTGAATTAACAACATACAAACACCAACAACATACAAACAACGTACAAATGTCAATAAAACAACATACAAACAACAACAACATACAAACAACGTACAAATGTCAATAAAACAACATACAAACAACAACAACATACAAATATCAATACACAGCATACACAAACACCAATAAACAACATACAAACACTAACAAACCACCTACAAACCACATACAGACAACAACAAACAACATGCAACTATCAACAAATATACAAACAATATAAAAACATCAACAAACAACATACAAACATCAACAAACAACATACAAACATCAACAAACACCTACAATGCAACATACAAACACCAACACAAACGCCAGCAAATAGCTATGTAATGAACTTTGTCGCTAGTGGTTTTACGTTAGGAGGACTTATAGAACTGATGGTGAAAGGACTGCCCTACAATGATTGCAATGATTGGCTGCAAATTCGTACACACACACACACACACACACACACACACACACACACACACACACACACACACACACACACACACACACACACAAACACACACACAAACACACAAACAAACAACACACACACTATTTATAAACTATTGTATTTATTCATTTAAATTTAATATGTGCTATGTATACGAATGTGTGAGGTATGTATGAGAACTATTATTTGACAGAAAAATAAGAATGTGGTTTTACTCTTTTGAAAATCATCTAATTTTAAATTGTAATAAATTATGTAAATGAGATTAGGCCCAAGTTACGATAATAATAATTTACCCTTCTTGCGATATGAATGGTAACAAGGATGAATAATTTTAAACCATCAGGTTCACTTTTGGCAATTTCACAATTGTAACTAAAGAGAGTCAATTAACGATTTTGATAAATATTTGTTAATTTATTTGCATAAGTAAATGATCAACACTTATAAAAACAACTGAGAAAAATGATCTCAGTGGAGAATGCTAATTTCAAAAAAGTATGATGCCTGTTGTGATAAGATTCGAAAGTACAGTAGTTGTTTGTCGATGTGATTGGTTTGTATAAATATTTAAAAATAAAAATTCCCTGAAGATATTTTATATCATATAGCCTCACATCAAATAAACCACATCACCTGATATAAATCACATCAATCCGATCAATCCCATCCCGCCAATCACACCACCTTACATCAATCACACCAGGCAATGAATCAATTGCCTTGAATCTATCACCTCCAATCAGTGACACCAAACACTTTACATCAGATAACGTATCATATGGCACATGATCATCACATCAGGTCGGATCCAATACTTCATGCAGAGCAACACCATTGAACATGCAATCCCAACACAGTTAAATAAACATTTAATCGTAGGTAGTCATGTCATGCGACTAAAACCCAACAACAGACAGACAACCAACAAACTCACAGAGAAGAAAATAATGACAGAACCAAAGTGCCACCTTAAGATATTCAGACTCACGATAATAACGAAGTACCTTGAAATAAATGTATAAAGACTGTTCGTAGCTCATTAGCAACTGTCAGTATTAACATGTCAGCGTGTGATTGTGCATGTGCTTGTATAGTATAGAGCAGGCATGTTGTATAGGGGAGTTTAAGATTGAGTAGGTTTAAATCGCGTTAAGTACATGATCAAGCGTGAAGTTGGCGAAATATTTGAAATGTCATACCTGTCTCCTTCTTTTCTCTCACATTCACTTGTTTTCTATCTGCTCCAACAACTCAATTGAAAGATTTTAGTGTTTATTTTTGAGTTTTTTCTATTTTTTTTATAATTTTTCAACTATTTTTGAACCATATAGTTCAATTCAATTCATGCTGTAATCAGAACATAAATAGGGTAATAAAAAATTTCGCAATAACATGCCGCAGAAACAAACATTTGATGTTTTTATTCCATGCACAATCCAACTGGATTATTGTGTTGCGAGTTTTTCGTTAATAAATAAAAATTTGTCTCTCAGCTTATTTAGGAAATGTTTTGTTGTAGTTGTAAAGAGATGACATTCAAAGTTTTTTTAGTTTCTTATTAATGTTTAGTTTTACGATAAAATTGTTACAACACGTAACCTAAGTAACAAGTTGACCACCAACGGACCCTCCTGCAGGCTAGGTTCGAGGAAGAAGTGCAAGCGATGCGATGCCATCATATCAGACCTTGAGATGGTTATGTGCACGAAACTCAACGATGTCTACCACGTCAAATGTTTCTCCTGCGTCGTGTGTCACCTCACTTTGACTGCCGGTCAGCAATACGGCATTCAGAATGGAGACATCCACTGCGGACCTCACTTCGAAGCTCTTCTGTCCAGCGCAGGCAGCTCAAACACGTTCAACCCGCTGCCATTCAACTCACCTCCTCCCACATTTCAGTCGCCATCAAGTTACAACAACGCCACTGAGTACGATGAAATGAATAAAACTCAGGCTGCCAGCGCAATCGTTAACGATGATGACGACGACGACGACGACGATGACAACTACGAAAACGCCATGGATGATGATTGGAGCAGCGATAACAACGACGGCAACAGCTGCGTTTTCACAAATGACTTTAATAATTCTGGCGAACTTGGCTCGCTCGACAGACAATCGATGAACATTTGCTCGAAATCTAGGTCAAAAAGACGGAAACTTTCCGGAGATGTCAGCTCTTTTTCAAACAATGAGGTCGTCCACCAGCACCACCACCATCATTCCAATCATGCCGTTCTCCAGCACCAGCTTCACTCCCAACATTCATATTTCCAGTTCAATAATGGTGACAACATTTTTTTTTATTGTAAATGTTTTAAATTTTGTTGTAAAATAAAATAATGGAACAACAAATTATTAAATTAGCAGCTAATTAAAATGATCGTAACAAACAGATGAGCATCACATGTTAGGCCTGGAGTACGGTGAACAACTTTATTCAAACGACTTGCACTATTTCAAGGACCAACTATTGAGTAACAAGGGCAATGAAACTGGTAACAACAAATCCTTCCCGTGCAACGGCTACGTTAGCAGCAACAACCAAGGCAGCAATAACAACGGCAGCAACAGGCAGAAAAGATTGAGAACATCATTCAAACACCACCAACTTCGCACCATGAAAACATACTTCAACATCAATCACAATCCTGATGCAAAAGATTTGAAAGATCTTGCTCACAAAACAGGATTAACTAAACGAGTTTTACAAGTGGGCTTATTGAACATTAAAATTTTATCGGAAATGCTTAAAAATATAATTTGCGTAATGTCGAACAAAAATTGATAAGAAAATGTGAAAGATAAAATAGTCATGAACGCATTTTAAATTTCAAGGTCTGGTTTCAGAACGCAAGAGCCAAGTATCGTCGCAACATGATGAAACAAGACTCTGGAAAGCTGAGCGAACCTGCAGCAGAAAACAGTCTACCCTCACCCTCGTCTAACCTGGAAATAAATAAAATTTCACAAAACGTTTCATCTCTATCGTCATCTTCATCGCCATGCTCCGTGAAAGCAGCCTTAATCAAAAGTGACCCATCCACTCAGCACTTGTCCGGTTGCAACGTGTCCGATCTATCTAACCTTTCAATGTCCGCCCAAAATTTTGTTGCAGACGAGACCGATTCAAACTGTTGTCCTGCCGATGATATATCTGTTCAATTTTTAGATTGAAATCTTTTTATAAAATTCCCAACAATTAAATTATTTTCAGCAATCATTTGTGAATTATTTATTGAGGCCTTCCTGTAATGCAAAACAGCCTTCGTGTGTACACTCTTGTGCCTTTTGTTCATATACATTATTTTATTAGAAAAGTTATGATAAATGATAAAAAATGCTTTCGTTTAATAATTAAAACATTTCTTGAATAAAAAAATATCGCCAGTTAAAATACTTTTCGCATTCAAGAGCAAAATATTTAACAATTAATTATCAAGCCAGTCATCGGTGTATCACAAGACACACCGATGATCATTGAATTTAGATTAAAATTTTAAGACTATTTCATGAATAACTTAGTGCGATTTATAATAAGTTGAACTTTTCATAAAAAAATAAACCGCTTTGTATTTTATATACTCAAAAGATGCTGTCTACTGAACCACTTTAAAGCACAAGCACAACTTAATTAAGATGGATCGATATGAAGCAATTGAAATGCTGACTATATCGTTTGTGTCATTCTATTTCAGTTCTCGTGCATCACCATAATTTATGCTTTGATGTTTTTAATCCGTTATTATAATTTGATCATTGCACCAATAGATAAGTTACGTCATTTCCGCTATTGAAATTAAGTGTCTTTTTATTTGTTCCCAAAAACTAAAAAGAAGGCAGATTTACGTAATCAACGTAGTAGTGTCGGAAAAAATGTTGACAAAACCATAATGCTCTCATGTTTTTATTATCCAATCACAATTAAAGTTCTGCTCTGAATATCTCCACAGGATCAACATAATCAAGCATGGCTATTAAATAATTTCATTCACCAGATATTTTTTCTTCTAGAAACAAGTGACGTAATTTTTTTGGTTTCAATTCAAGTTTCATTGAATTAATTGAAATATTTCTTATAAACAGTTGTTAAAATTTAGCATTTATTTTATATGTATTGTGTATTATATTCTAAATACATGGCATGTATTGTCTATGTAATATATACTGTCTATATAGATCATATATATATATATATATCCAGGATGTAGATAGCTATTTTTAAAACCTTATAAACTTTTAAAACCATATCTTTGAAACAAAAAACTAGCTTAAAACCTAAAACAAGATTTTTTCTGTCCATATTCTAAATATTGGGATGTTAGTTGAACCGGCATGGTACTCGTTTCCATGGCAGCATTATTTTTCAACTCAAGGAAACAAATTTCGAATCCAAAGTCTAAGAAAAAGCAAACAACTTTCGAATGTTAAATGGCTGTCAAAAACAGCTAAACTGATTTTTTCACCAAATCTGGTCTCGTTAATCTGAGCAACCGTAATGTAATCATTTTATTTTGTCCAGCATTATCTCTTTTCTTTACGATTTACGTTTACAATTCTATATCTGCTTTTTCTACAATGGACTCTGCAATGAACAATATTAATAGAATTATTTTCTATAATTACTAAAATTACAATAATATACTATTATACATGCAAATTTTTCATTACAATACTATAGTATTGTCACAATTTATAAGGAATTGTAATTGTAAGTAAATTAAATTAATTAATTAAAGTTAAACATGTGTATTTAATAAAAATAAAATAGTAGAATTTGATACACTGTATTTTAGTGATTTTTATATAATAATGATTGAAATTATTTATTTATATTGTTGTGGTTTATCATTTCATTCATTGGGTAGATAAGTATATAATATATTTATATTATGACAGACTAGTTTTGCATTTGCAGATTACAAGACTTACGATGCATTCATTTGCAAATCAGATATTAAATATGGAGGGTGTTAAGAATTACAGAAGTACGAGTCGAGTGAATGGGTGGTCGTGGCCACCGCATCCCCTGCAGATTATTTTATGGATCACCATCATTTATTTCATAGTCTTTTATTACTGCACATGTCTGCCTGCCTTGGTCTCCAATTTGCAAACTCTTAACTACGTGGTTACTATTCAGAATAACTTTTTTCAAAGTATTCGTAAATTAACAAACTGATAAATGATGATAATAAGCAAATTTTGACAATGTTTTTCAATTTTTTAGATTCTAACATTGATAATGCTCATCCACATCATCTTCCACCTGATGGCTTCATCCATCAACCCTGCTGATGAAAACGTTTTGATAAAGTTCAACTTGGGCTCGTATGTAGTAGCTCCATTCGATAGGAAGATTCACAATCATGTCATCGAAAACTGTAGATGTAACATATGTGGTGTGGATGTGTTAGTAGTTGTATTTTGCTGTAATGGAAATATATCAAATTATCTTTTGAAAAATTTTGTTAGTTTGGGTTAATGTTATGTTGTTGTGTGGTTCAGTCTTAAGTTGAAATGAACAATCTTTTTTCTCACAGAAATTTTGATTGTGTAATTGAGACATTAGAACATGACATAACTTTTATATATCTCCTTTATGAAGAAATGTCAATATTAATTTTTTTAACTTTAAGTCACCAGTCGTCGAAGCATTGCAGCAGTTGCAACAAATGCATCAAAAATTTCGACCACCACTGCAAATGGCTGAACAACTGCATTGGCTCTCAGAACTACAAACACTTCATCTTGACGCTATCCACTGCAGCCCTCGGCTGTCTCTGGATGCTCACCTTCTACTGCATCGAATTCATTGCCTACTTCTCAGACTTGCAAGCAGGAAGAATACTCATGCCTTATTGTGGTTTGTGAACTTCATTTCTTACTTTCCCTGCCACTGGCATTTTGATAATTTCAGTTATGTTTTATCAAGTTTTTGTGGCTTGTTTTTATTTTTAGTTGATAGTGATGTATTATTTCATTATTATTTTGCATTCTGATTAATCTCTGTCTGTGTCTAGTGTGTTTACACTAAATTAAAATTTTTGGTAATTTTTTTTCAATTGTTGAAAATTTAATTTATTTACTTTCAGTTTTCAGAGAGAAAAATTTAAAAAACTTTGTTACATCTGTGCCGAGAATCACTCATTCAACAAAAACCGTAGAATTAACAACGACTCAATATATTCATTCAACATCATCTTCATCATCCTTACTCACAAAAGTGCCAAATACATGTAAGAACAACCAAGTTGCTTTTGAAATTGATTACAATTTTTCAATTCGTTACTAATCAGACGTTATTATCAGCCTGACCATTTTAGTATTTTTTTTAGAATCTCAGTTTATATCAATTTTTATTTGAATTGCACGTTTTTAATGTCAGTTTTCCACAACTACACAAATGTCTCTGAAATCCTCAACAACAACAACCCAGGCTAGCCAGCCATTTTATTGTATTATTTGTATTAAAAATTTATTCCAAATTGCAATGTATGTTATATTGAAAATCGATTTCCAGATTTAAACAGTTGTGTCGAATGAGTAAAAATTTTAAGGTCAATACCCTATTACGATTTTGCCGATTTGTTTACATCATAAAATTAATTGTAGTCTAGAATGATTAAAATAAGAAGTTAATAAATGAATTAATTGTAGTTTAGATTGATTAAAATAAGAAATTAATAAATGAATTAATTGTAGTTTAGATTGATTAAAATAAGAAATTAATAAATGAATTAATTGTAGTCTAGATTGATTAAAATAAGAAATTAATAAATGAATTAATTGTTGTCTAGATTGGTTAAGATAAGAAATTAATAAATGAATAATTGATAAAATGGCCCCATGAACACACAGTGTTTGAGATATTTTTCAAGCCAACGCCAGACGGCTGGTGGCTGTCCATGATGATCCTGCACATCATCCTGCACGTTCTCGTTGTCGGCATGCTCCTTCACCTGCTAACCTTCCATTTCTATCTCAGTTCGTCGCCTCCTTCATTCAACATTTTTTTGTCAACTCTGTATTTATTTATTTTTATTTGGTTTGAATTCTTAAAACTGGACATTGCGTATTTAAAATGTGTTAGATTCATTGAAAAAGTGTATCAGTTTAGTGCTGATATTATATTAAATTTAAATAAAGAAACGTGAAATGTGAATCAAGCAAATGTTTCAATAAAAACTTTGTGCCTCCAAGTTTAATCAGCTAATTATAATTATATTAATCGTCATTTATGATCGCTTTCATTTTTTGAACCAGACTCTGATGAAGGCAGAGTTTGGTACAGTATAAATGATGCACGTTACAACAACATACTCGTAACAACAACAACAACATGCACTTTACATCACGCTCGCTATCTATCTATCTATCTATCTAATCATATCTTATTAACCTTTTCATTTTTACAAACACGAATTGTTATAACAGTCAACAGAAATTTGACGACATACGAGTACATAATCAGTCAGAGGTTATCAAAGGATGACGAAGTTGATGAAGTTGTTTCAACCATCTCGTCATCTGCCATCGACTACCAACACAGCAACATGCATCATTCAAATTTCAACTTTCATACATTTTTACATGGCCTTAGGGTTAGTAACAAAGCCGTTTCTTTATCTATCTGCCTGTCTGCCCTTCCGTCTTTCAATTCATCCATTCATCCGAACTTCCATCTATCCATACATCTATTCATCCATACATCTATCTATCCATCTATCTATCTATTCATTTTCTGATTTCATTTTTTATAATTATACTATAATGTTAGAATGAAATCAAAAGATGGCGACATAGTTTACATTTTCTAAATATTTTTTTTGTAAAAGTTCAAATAAGATAATATAAATTTACTCACCGACAAATACAAATTTATTAAAATTATTAACTGGTTAACAAAAAAAACTTCAAGTTTTGAGAACATTTTTTCAATGACTGTTGAAGAGAAGGAAAAATTGAGTTAAATAGCGTCCTATTTGGGAGCTACAATAAGTCCGGCAATAAAGATTCAAATGTAAAAAAATTTTGTGAGAGTTGAAGGGAAGATAAATGCGAAAATGTGAAAGATACAAATAGGTACTGCCATTTTTCATTTTTCGTTACAAAATTTTGATTCTTACTTTTCGAAAATTTTGTAAGAGTTAAAAAATAATAACTCTTGATTACAAGATTGAATAACTCAATATATTTAAGCCATGAAAATATCGTCTTTAACAAAATTTAGGTTAAATGTTTATTTCAAGCCTTTTTTTTATAATTTCAAGCGTTTTTATTTTTTTCATAATTATGAATAAAAATTAATTAAACTAATTCCTATTCATAATTGCAGCCAACTTCTTTTAAATCTTTTAACGTTCAATAAATGACATTTCAGAATCACAGGATCTTCCCGATGGG